AAAAAAAAAAAAATCCAAATTAATTGAAATCTTTAGTAGAGATATTTTATATATTTCTTTTTTCCTAGATCTGGAAACATGTCTAACAGACATTACAAATGATAGCATTTCATAAGTGTATCAAGAGTTCTTTATTTTTTTTTAATCAGTTTGGGAATTTACCTGTTTGTTCTTTTCTGGGGGTAGCAGAGGCTCCCCAAGTCACAACTCTGTGGGCTTTAATTTGAATGTTTTGAACTTGTATCTCATTTTCCTGCAGAAACTTGTGGTTAGGAATCCTGGCCCGTCTGGAGAAGCCCATTCTATCTTCAATGTCAATACTTTGTCATACAACATCAATAGTTTATGTAGTAATGCTGAAAGAGAAAACTCCCCCATATTTCCACTGTGGGACATCTGGCATTTTCCTTGCCCTAGTTGTGGGTAGTCAGGAATATAGCTCTTTGATGTTGTAACTGCTGTGTGTGCATTTTGTGTTTCTGCTGGTATATAGTATGGAGTGGTTCAGAGGTGGATATGGTAGGAAAATGGAATAGGATGGTGGTGAAAATAAACCTAAAAATGAGCTAAGAGGAGGAATTGGCAGAAGATAAAAATAAGAAGAGTTAGGATGGGTGGGAGATGAGACAGGGCCAGGAGCTGGGCATTCTGGGCAGGGAAGAGATACTGCTGCCTGTGTGTTAGCATGAGAAATTTTACCCTTTCCCTTCTGTCCAGACATCTAGCTGTTTGGTTTGGGTAAGAGGTTTACACTAAGACTTGTGCTGAGGAGGGACAAGGGTGCCACGGGAGTGGTGGTAAAGAGGGGAGAGTCCCCAGTGGTGTGTGGTTAGGATGGCCATCCTATAGACATGAAGACTCTCTTGGTGGTGAATTCACGTGTGCAGGGTGTCTACTTTTAGATCTGTTCTGTCATTTCTGTTCTGGGGGTTGAAAGGAAAATAAAAACCTGATCCTTTGAAGTGAATATCAATAATCAAATTTGCCAAGCTGTTTGCCCATTTCAGAATAAGCCTCCCGTTACCCTCATCACCACCCACCAGAGCCTTTGAAGTTCTGGTTATTTATGCCCTTGGTGTTTTGGCTGGCCAAACACAGCCATGATGTTACCTTTCTCTCTCTGGTGGAGAATATCGCAGAGGTCCTGTTCTGTTGAGAGTTTAGGACTCCTTCTGGGATACGAATGGAGGAGAAATTTAAGAATTGTATTGGGCAAAGAAAAGATGTTATAAATAGCTCCCATTGTCAACTTTTCTCCTCTTGCCCAAGGCAGAATTGGCTGTCATTCTTGGGGGGAGGAGGCATTCTCGTGCCTGGCTGCCAGGTGAGCTAATTCAAGCGTAAAGATTGATATTGCTCCCACAGCCTGCATTTTGCATGTGCCCTCACTGCTGAGACCCTAGCTCTCAGATTCAGCATCGTCAGTCTCCTAGTGGGCTGAAGTTTTGACATACCAAGTGGCTGTGAACATGGACCAGAAGTTTTGTCTACAGGTAGGGTACATTTTCTTCTTTTTAAGTGTCCAGAAAAAGAGAAAGAGGTAAAGTTGATGCTTGTAATCATGTGGTCTTGTGTGGATAGCCATGAAGGTGGTGGAAGCCCCAGCAGTTAGCTGTTGGTTCCTGAGAAAGTGGTCGCTTAACACAATTTAGCTTGGCAATTAGTAAAGGATGGTGTATTTTGTAATCCCCATGGAATCCTTTACATTTCAATAGCGTTAATTAAGTCTGCCATATTAAAGTGTAAATTTTATGTCCAGGTCAGTGAACCTAAAGGAGAGGCTGGAGCAAACTAAAACTAATTGAGTTTGGGTATTAACCCAAGCATGTACTGATGTATGGTGGGCAAACCCTAATTTCTAGGGTTTAATATCAAACATCATCACTTAAATTTTAGTTCAAAACTTGGTCTTACACTTTTCATATTTTCTTTGGGATTTTTTTTTTTAATATCTTAAAATGCGTTTTTGGACGCTGTTAATAACAGCTCTTTGTGAAATGGTTTTGAAATTTCCCGTAGGCTCATGAAATATCAGGTTACTACTGAATATTTGAAATACCCTTCCCAGACTAAGCTGCCTCGTTTTATGGTTTAGCTACATAAATTCTTGATTCTTAGCTGTTTGAAATTTAAATCAAAGTAAAACAAAACCAACAAGCACTTTGAATTTGTTCATTCACTTGTAAGTAATTATAATTATGTGAAATTGCATATTTTAGCTCCCTGGGGAGTGGGTTATATGATATGGGCAGATGAATATTTTTATTATATACCAAGAATCTATTAAAGTTTACATTCACCTGGAAACATCTTTAGAAAAAGATACTTTATTTAATATTTTAAAATACTTTGGAAAAATAGCATTTTCTACTCTGGGAAAAAAGAGTGACTTAATGAGCTCCTCAAACAGAATACAATCCCCTTTTTCCTGTCAAATGGTTCTAATAACCTGTGTGTGTCATACAGAATATGGTCTTTACAAATAAGCTTCCTATTGCTAAACCAACATATTGTTTACGGGGAGAATGTCATTTACCCACAAGACAATACTTCTGCCTTAAAGGGGAAATAAACCCCAGATAAATTAGAGAGGATTATTAAATTATAATAGGATTCACAGCTATGTTTCTTTGAATTAGGGGCAACCGTAATCCGTTTAGGTTTGCTTCCATCTGTCATTAGCTACTTGAGCAAGCTTTGATGGGGAGGGGTGAGAAAATTTTAGTCTAATGAGTCATTGCTTGGTGAAGATCAATCTCAAAACATGATGAAACTTCTCGCCTGGCAGTATAGTTAGGAAGTAAAATGAGCATGTATGAAACAGCAGAATAATTACATGCACAACTATCTTGGGGGGAGTAAGGCTTTTTTTTAGATTTGTTTAAATACCGGTGCCTGATGTTTTTGATTATTTCAGATGTTCAAAAAGATGTAGAGAATGAAAAGCTATAAAGAACATGGCACCTATCTACCTACTACTCAGTTTAAGAAATAAGACATAACTATATTTCCTCCTGATCATATTCCCCTTCCTTTACCAAGAGGTAACCTTGCTTCTGCTAATTTAATTTTCAGCCTCTTAGAATAGTGGTAGGCCATTTGACCAATAGTTGAATAAGGTTTTAGTTAGATGAAAGCATAGAAGGAAGATGTGCCTTGTATGTGCTATGGAAGAGAGATTAGAGGTAGAGTATCCATTCATTCTGCATTTCCTTAAATAAATATTAATTAAATTCTGATGCTGTGAAATGCACTATGTTGGATGCTCTTTGAGATGGGCTATCAAGCATAGGTTCTTTCTTCATGGAGCCTTAGAGTCTAGTTGGGGTTTAAAGACCTATATACGCAGAGTGACTATAACAGGAGAGGGAAGTAGTGTTGACTAATCCAAGCTGGTGTTGGGTGCCGGTGGGGGAGCTGAGCTGGGAAGGACTTGATTGCCTTAAGATTTACCTAGCAACAAAGTATAGAATGCAGTGGGGCACAGAAGAGACTAGGGTCAGGGAGATGGTTAGGAAGAGATGTCACTAGTTAGGTAAGACAGAGTAAGATCTCAAATGAGAACAGGATCAGGAAAGAAGGGGAGATGAGTAGGAAGATTCTTGAGAAACTGCATGGACCTGGGAGCTGAAGACACAAAGATGATGACTTCAAGGCTTTGAGGTGACATTAAGATGGCACTGAAAGAGAGGGAACCATCCGTTTTGGTTTGAGTTCAGTTTCAGGCACGTTGA